ACTAACACTGAGATGTTGGTGCATGCGTCTCTAATCTGTATGTATCTGATTATTACTAGTCATAATTGGTTGCACTCGGATCCTTGGCATCTGTGTATGTCTATGAAGTCATCGGGTAGGTTTCAATGGCAATGTTTATCACCTCTACTAATTAACATGATGTAAATTTTTATGCTTCCTCCTCAAATATAATACGTGTTTTTTACTTTGTTGATTTTTTTTTCTGTGTGTGTATCACACAGAACATCCCAAACCGTCTTACTCAACTATACACCCACTTCCCAGATGACACCCTCCCATAGCCTCCCTCCCCCCACTAGAGCCCTTATATTCTGATATCCCTGCTACTGTCCGCTGTGTTGTCGGCACCCCAGCCATTCCCCACTACTTGTCCCATCTGGTGAATTTAGTCAGCCTATCTAGAGGTCTTTGTTTTAGGAGGGTCAGCTGTTCCTCATCTAGCACCAATCAGTTCTCATCTAGCACCAATCAGTTGTCAGTATTTCTTTAGATAAGATTGGGGTCTGCTGTTCATTTTCCCAGTTCTATGCTGGGTTACTATCTGGGAGTCCCTTGGGCTGCCCTGGCCAACAACTCAAAAGAAGGTATGTCCTATCTGGCATTGTTGCTTGTTATGTAGCCTTTAGCTATACATAAAGACTCTTAAAAAATTATATTGGCCCCTTTAATCTTTGGTTATACTTTCCTTTTGGGTGTTTAAGGCCATACAGTTGGCCCTGATAAACCAGTTTATTTTTACTCTTAAGGTCATTTGAGGATCTGTTCCTCAGGGGGTCACATGGGCTTGGGAGGAGGCCCTGGCTCATTAACTTTTAACAGTTCTATGTGAAGATAAGTCAAAGGTCCTGCTCGACTATGTCTGGCTTCGCTTGGTTTCGTGGAGGAAATGATTCCTCTGTGTTGACCCTCCTCTTTGTAGACTGGACACTGGTTCACGTCCATCTCATGGGTTCTCCTCAGCCTCTTTGATCAAGAGCACAGGTGACCCACCACAATTATAGGACATTTGGGAGATTCTCATAGTACCCTGGAACTAGTCAACCTAGGAGGTCAAGGAGCAAAAACTGTCCTTTATGTCCCTCTGACCAAATTAGTATGGGCCTCAAAGTATGTCTGTTAAACATCCAAGAAGGTTAGTTTCACCAGTCTGGGACTTTTAATTACTTATGTACCATGTAGATAAATGTTGGGCAAAGACCACTTGTTCTCAGATAAACCTTACCTAGACATTTATTTCTGAGATAACCTTACCTAGACATTTATTTCTTGATCTGGTATGTATAATTTGTCAGTAGGTTGTTGGACTAATACGGTTCCCTCTGGTTTTTAAAACTAGCTAGGCATTATTTATCTCTTGCATTGTCTCACCCCCCTATCATGGTTTTCCCAATTAAGGTGCCCCCATTTTTCCCCTTTCTCCCTTAATAATACCCTTCTCAGATGGTCCTATCTCTCGAGCTCCTTCTTTCCCTTTATCTCCTAGGTTCCTTGTATACCCTTCTCCCCTGGTTTTTATATAGGCATTATTTATCTCTCACGTTGTCTAGCCCCTCCCTCATGGTTTCCCCAATTGAGGTGCCCCCATTTTTAATTGCATTTCTTAAGTTGGGCATAGCATTGTTTTAGACTACTTGGCAGCTTACATAGACTACTATACCATTGATGCTTATCTGGACTTCCTCTATTCTGTTACTTTTACTTCCAGATCATCCTACGCATTCTGGTCCTAGTAATATTCTTGACATTCACAAGTTTGGCTTGCTTTCCTCCTCCTAAATTTTCATAATAAAGTAGAATTCTTTTTCTTGGTATCTAGGGTTCTGTGGCAGTTAATTGTGAACTACTTTTGGTTTTCTTTGTGAAACTAGGCTGCTGGTTATGTAAGAAATACAACTGATGCTGTCATGTCTCTGTGCCTTTGCTTCTGCTGTTCCTCCTGTCTAGAATGCTGCTCAATTCTATTCTTGAAATTAAACTGTGAATTTCAACTTTAATATCGTTTGTTCCATGAATGAGGCTTCATTTGCTTTCCTCTTCTGTATTTGTATTGTACTCTGCAATATAATGCAACATGTGTTGTTGTTTTGGTGTTTGAGAATAGAAGTTACCTTATTCACTGTCACTTTGCTCTGAGAAAAGTTTTTATTGCTTGACTTCATTGACTCTTCTGCTTTAATGGATCATAATTTTGAACAGGCTCATCTTGAAAGTCTAACGAGAGGATGCATATCAAAGGTGCAGTAAGCATTTTCTTAGCTTTGTGTGATTTGAGTCAGATTAAAATAAAACTTGAGGGGCTAATGGGATGGCTTAGCAGGTAAGGAAGCTGGCTACCAAGCACAAGTGACCTGAGTTTGATCCCTCTAAATTTGAACACAAATGGTGGAAGCAGAGAAACAACACCTGTTAATTGTTCTCTGCCTTTATGGGTATTGTGTGCGTGCATGTGTGTGCACAAAACAAAATTATTTAATTAAAATGTAATTAAGTAATAAAAGACATGGAAGGTAACCTGGATGATAAAAAAGGCAAGAACAGTATGATCATGCATGTGTTAGCATAGAATTGGAAACAGTGCCTTGGTGCCTAGGGGAACTTTTGTGTACTATGAGACTCTACCTATTAATAGTCTTCAAGAAAGTAAAATATTAAAAGTGATAATTTTTATTGTTTTCTTAAAATATAGTGGCAATTGTTTACCTATCAATTTGTCTTTCGGATTATATAGCTTTAGTCATTTGAACTTTTTTTCTTTAAATAATTAGTGAATTTTTTCTTAGAATTGTTATTTTATAATAGCTTCTTTTTATTTTAGGAAAGTGAAAAAAATCTTATGATGAGCACATTATACAGGCTTCATGATCGATTGGCACAGCTTGCAGGTAATTGTTTTAGCATATAAAGTTTCAAATGTTTCTAAGAATTAATTGGTTTGTTCTGCATGTTCTTTCAGTAGAAGTAATCTTTCCTAAGTACAGTGTTGTATCAGGGGACTATTTTCCTTTTTGCCATATATATTATATATACTTTATATACATTGTGTTGATATTAACAAGAAGGCATAAATATCAGTTGAATTGAGTAAGCAGTGAATTAAAATCTTGAATTAAAGGTAGAAGTCAGATTTCCTTCTGGAGATTATGTAAATGTCATTTCTTTGGATAAAGTATATTATACTGTTCATTTCTGATTGGTTGACTTTTCCTCGTTTCCTGCTCTTACTAAGTCTTTAAGAATACTCAGATAACAATACATCTTCAATTAGAATCATTTGTTATAAATGAATTCTAAGTTTACAAGCTGTGGTAATAGCATTTGTTTATTACATTTTTCAAATTTTGAAAATTATTCATACTTTACACATAATCTGAAAGAAGATTATTTGGATTCCCTTCTTATAAGCAGTTATGGGAATATAAAAATGTGCCTTTCAAACTGTAATTAAAGATTGTTTTTGTGGAAACAAGACCATTGGTAGCAGTCTCATAGACAAACCATGGTATAGCTTTTCTGGTTAAATGCACGTATTTGAGAACCTGACAGTACCTTGTCTCTCATCTATCTTTTAAAAATTTTGAGTGTATAATTCTGCTTCAGTCTTTTTAGGCCTATAATGTGTATTTCTTAAATGCCTGCTTTGTATTGACTGAGTTGCAGTCATTCAGACTATAAGCTAATGACATTTATTTGGTTGCTTTAGCACCTAGAAGTAGATTACATTCTGTAGCTAAGAAATCCTGATGTGCTAGCATAGGAATGAATAGCAGTCTATAGCAGTTTTATGAAGGGCAGTCACTACTCACTAAATCAGCATGATTAGGGTTGCTTTTAAAGATATGGATTTCTTCCTCTAGAGTGGATGTTGACGAGCTTTTTTCTTTGAAGTGCCAGGTGGTAAATGTTTCAGGTTTTGCTGGTTAGATTGCCTCTGTCACTACTACTCTGTTGTGCTATTATAGTGTGAAAATACCTAAATACTATATTAATCAACTAGCTTGATCATTGTCCAATAAAATTTCATTTATAGACACTAGCAGCAGGCCAGATTTGGCCCTGGGCTATATTTTGCTGACCTCTGTTCTAGACCTCTGGAATCTGACTCTCTGAGGATGCATTTTAAAGTTGGAAGATTTGTTTATCTAATAGGTACTTCTTCCCTTATATAACTACCGCCATTAAAAATCTGTCTTTCTGAACAACACTAAGTAAGAATGTGGTTATTAGAGAAAGATTTGACAGTAATTTTACTTTAATCGTTGTATTTTAATGTTAAAAGTATTTTTTAAATTTTTTAAAAATATTTTATTATTTTTATGTGTATGTGTGTATTGCCTGCATGTGTGGAAGTGCACCCGTGTTGTGCAGTGCCTGCGGAAATCAGAAGAGGGTGTCGGATCCCCTAGAACTGGAGTTACAGACAGTTATTAGCTGCCGTGTGGGTGCTGGGATTCGAACCCTGATCTTCTGCAAGAACAGTCAGTGTGCTTAACTGCTGAACCATCTCTCCAGCCCCAGTATTTTTTTAAACTACTTGGAAGAAATGGGGCAGGAAGAACTTACAGCTGAAGCTTATCTCTAATAACCACATGGATCCTGAAGTAAAAGCTTTGTAGCTCATCCCTTTAGAGTAACAATCATGGGTGGAAACTTCTGCCTAATTTTCCCTGTTGATCTGCTAAAACAATTTTCAGGGATATATACTTCCTGCTGTAGGTAAACTTACACTCAGAACATGCACATGCTCAGTACAGTATTTAACTTTAGTACAATAGCAAATTCAAGCTTATTTTAATCTTTGGATTATTAGCAGTAAAAACAGACGAGTAGTTAGAATGGAGAACTTGCTGGATTTTTCCCCATTAAGAATAAGGGCTATGAATAAGCTATCAGAGAGATATGGTCCCCACATTGGCTTACAACTTAGTACCTAAGAGGAAGATGATCTTCTATAGATTGAAGTGTATTTAAAGATGGTGGTTTATATAAGGGTAGTTGTTGGTTTGCCTTAGTTATTAGAATTGTTACTAGAAAATATAAGTAATGTTCATCTTTCCTTATTGATTATGTAATTGTATAATTTGTAAGACATTTTGAATTCTAATTCTTCTGTTTAATATTATACTGATTCAAAACTTAATATGCTGATCTTTTCAGGAGATCATGAATGTGGCAGTTCTAGTCAAAGGACGCTTTCTGTCCAAGAAGCAGCTGCATATTTAAAAGTAAGCATTGAAATTAGAGTTTTGGTAGCCATATTCTTAAAGTTTATATACATCATTACTACTATCAAAAGCATTATGCATCTGATTAATTGTACTGTTTGAAGCACAGCTTACTTTTTGGTTGTAATATAAGTAGGTATAATAAAAGAAAATAGAATTTCTCAGTTACTTAGATTTAGAGCATTCTGTATAAGAAAATGCACATAAATGTGGAAAGGGAATTCAGAACATTGGTAAGGGCCAGGCATGCTGGCACACACCTGTAGTCTTAGCCACTTGGAAGGCTTAGGCAGGGTGGTCACTTGGAACCAGGTGTTTGAGGGCAGCTTAGTGAGAGCCTGTCTTAAATAGAGCAAAACAAACAAACAGAATCCAACACTGGTTAGAGGGACATTGAGATAGACTTAAGGTAAGCAGGAAGCATGAAAGAAAGCAAGTGAGCAGCTCGCCATTGCTCTAGATTGCCTTCTTCTTAGAGTACTAAGAAAAGTTGTCAGTGAATTTTCTGAATTATTACAAGTAGTCTGGAACTAGATGAAAAGTACTAGGAGGTTAAAAATTAAAAAATGCCACCTCTTGATTTTGCTGCCTGAGACCTGCACACCACCCTGACAAGTATATCAATCACCATGCATCAAAGAATCCTCTTTTTACAACAGATGAAGACTATTACAGAGTTACACAACTGGTCACACAGAGAATAAGTGTCTGTGAGATGCCTAGCCCTAAGTGACACATTTACAGTGGACTCTTTACACATTAAGGCTCAAGGAACATAGGGGAACAGGGGGTAGAGAGAATACTAATGGATCTCTCAACTCTCACCAGCAAAGCTTCGTCATACAACAGAGGGCTCTTAACATAGAAAGCCACACTGGCCAAAGTGTAGAGAATAAGAGATTGCAGAGTGCATGTCCCGGATAGGACTCCTATATTAAACCTCACCCACCCAGGGCTCAGGAATCATTGTGGAAGAGGGGGTGGAAAGATTTTCAGAGCCAGGGTTATTGCATGAGCAGTGATGCTAGATAAACTGAACAGGCTCCAGTGGATTAACCCAACTGAGGGAGGTCTGAGTATACAGACTTGACTCAATAGGCCTTAAAATCCTGTAGGCAGGATATGGTGGGCGTGTAGATAGGGACTGGGTGTGAATATGATTAAGATGTATGAAATGCACAAAAATTCAATAAAAAATGTAGAAACCCAAAAGGAAAACAGAAAAGTAAAAACAAAAATAGCAAAAATGGAAAATGCCATTCTGAGGGAAAAATGGAATTCAAAAGCCATAATGGAATGTTTTATGTCAATCCATTATCATTACTCTAAAATCCATTATCCATTACTCTAAAAGTGTGTTTACAAATTAAAATATTGACCTAAGCCGGGTGTGGCATACGCCTTTAATCCCAGCACTCAGGAGGCAGAGGCAGGCAAATCTCTGTGAGTTCAAGGCCAGCCTGGTCTACATAGTGAGTTCCAGGACAGCTGGGGCTACAGGGAGACCCTTGTCTCAAAAAGACCGAAAAAAAAAAAAATTGATCTAGCCAGCTCCTAGTGACTGCACAGGTTCAGTGTGAACAAGTGCTATTTCTCCCCCTGCCTCTCTCTTTAAATATTATGCTTAGAAAAGGTAACATGAATGTCTGTTAACATTTTAAATGTACCATGCAGCATCGGTAACTGTGTACACATTGTTGTCCATCTGATCGCTAGAGCATTGTCATTTTGTGTGACTGCAACCGTACATGCACTGCACAGCAGCTGTCTATTTTCCTCTCTTCTATTCCTGACAACCACCATTTTACTTTCTGCATCCACCAGTTTAACAGTATTAGATATCTCATATAAGAGGCTCAGGTCGGTCTTTCTGTGACTGACATTACTTATTTCACTTATCATAATGTCTTTCAAGGCTCATCCATAGTAGAACATATGAAAGTATTTTTCTTTTTCAAAATAGAGTAATATTGTGTTGTATTTTATGTACAAATGTTATCCTGTTTATTACCTGTTGATGGACTTTTAGATTGATGGACTGACTCTCCTCTTTTTGGAGTAATACATAGGAGCACATATGTGCTTTTCTGCTTTTGATTCTTTGGAATAAATACCCTAGAACTGAGATTATTAAATCATGTGGGTTCTGTTTTTAATTTTTTGAAAAATATACTGTTTTCTGTAATGGCTTTATGAATTTACATTCCCACTTACAGAAGATTTCCACGTTCTGAACACATTATTTTCTGTGTTTTATAGATAATAGCTGCTGTATACCTCATTGTGGTTTAGAATTAGATTCCCTGATGATTATAATAAACATCTTTCATTTACCCCTTCTGTGTATCATATATTCAGTGATGACATACTGTCTGTTGGTATTTGTTGTCAACTTTGAAGAAGTGCTGTCCATGTCCTTTGCTGTATTTGAAACTGAATTATTTATTTTGCTACTGGTTTGTGAGGGTTGAAATTGAATTATTTATTCGTGCTATATTGTTAGTGTATTAACTGCATGGTTTGCCGAAGATGTCTCCCATTCTGCGTTACTGTTTGCTGGCTCCCCTGCTGGTTGGAGCTTTTAGGTTAATGTAACCCCACTTGTCTGCTTTTGTTTTTGTTGCCTGTGCTTTGGTGTTGTATCTCAGAAACCGTTGTTCACTGTGATGTCCTGAAGCTTTTCCTCTTTGTTTTATCTAAGAGTTTTACAGTTTCAGGTATTATGTTTTAAGTCTTTATTCCATGTTGAGTTGATTCTTGTGTATAGGATAGGCGTTCACTTTTCTATATGGAAATCCATTTTTTCCAGTATCATTAATTGAAGAGAATATATGTTCCTTGTTATGTAGTCTTAGCCCTATGGCTTTATATGCTCTCTATTCTCTTTCTTTTGTTTATATGTATATTTTTTAATGCTTTATTTTTATTTTATGTGGATGAGTATTATGCCTTATGTAGGTAAGTGCACCCATGTTGTGAAATGCCTGTGGAGGACAGAAGAGGCTGTCAGATCCCCTGGAACTAGAGTTAAGGAGAGTTGTTAGCTGCCGTGTAGGTGCTGGGATTTGAACCCGGGTCTTCTGCAAGAACACTGTTCTTAACTGCTGAGCCTTATGTCTGTTTTTAAGCCACCACCATATCCTGTTTATTATACCTTTGTCTTGAGTTTTGAAGTCAGAAAGTAGAAAGCCTCTCACTTTATTTTTTTCTAGGTTGTTTTGTCTTTCGGGATCTTCCATGGTTACATATGTGTGTGTGTGTGTGTGTGTGTGTGTGTGTGTGTGTGTGTGTGGCTACCAGTCAATGTCAGGTGTCTTCCCTGATCTCTTTCCACCTTATTTTTTTGAGACCGTATCTCTTCACTGAACTTGGGCTAACCTATTGGCTAGACTCTGGCCAGAGAACATCAGGGATCCATCCACCTGTCTCTGTTGTCCCCATCCCTAGTGCTGAGTCTGTGACCATATCCATTCTCTTACATGGGTGCTAGGGATCTGAATTCACATCTTCATGCTGTGTGGAAAGTGTTTTACCCAATGAACCATCTCTCCCAAGACCCCTATATAAATTTTAATATTTTTTATTCATTTGTGTGCCTTTCTCTGTGTTTGCATCTCCTCCCTCCCCCCTCCCATGTATGTGTATGCGTGTGTGTGTGTGTGTGTGTCTGTCTGTCTGTCTGTCTGTTCATGGGCATGTGTGCCTGGAGAAACCAGAAAAAGATACTAGATTCCCTGGAGCTGAGTTATAGGAGGTTATGAACTACCTGACATGGATGCTGAGCTTAGGTCCTCTAGAGGAGCAGCAGGTGCTCTTAACTACTAAGCTATGTGTCCAACTCCCTAAGATTGTTTTTATTTTTACTTCTGCAGTAAATGGCATTAGGATTTAGATAGGATTGCATTGAAACTGTATTGGTTTGGGTAGTGTAGACATTTTATCATATGTCTTCTAATCCATGAACATGGTATGGCTTTTTGTTTGTATTTTAGTTTCTTTCAGCAGTGTTTTGTAGTTCTTGGTATACATATTTTTCACCTTTTTTAAGTTTGTAAGTATCTTGTTCTTTTCAGTGCTGCTGTAAATGAAGTTGCTTTTTTAGTTTCCTTTTGAGATTTTGGTATATTGATTTTTTTATCCTGCAAGTTTGCTGAATTCATGTACTCCAGCTGGATATATGTGTGTGTGTGTGTGTGTGTGTGTGTGTGTGTGTGTGTGTGTGTGTGTGATATCTTTAGTTCGGATTTTTTTAAACGTATATGATTAGGTCATTTATGAAAAGAGATAAATTTACTTCTTCCATTCAAACTTGATTTTCTTTTTAATTTCTTGTGTGATTACTCTGTCTAGGATTTCTAGTACTATGTGGAATAGAAGTGGTGAGAGTGACATCCTTATCTTCCTGATCTTAGAAGAAAACTTTCAGTTCATCACTATTGAGTATGATTCTTTGCTTAGGGCTTTTTATGTTTGGCCTTTATTTTGTTGAGTCAATGTCCTTTTAACTCCTAGTTGGTTTTTTTTAACTCATCATGAAGGCTTATTAAGCTTTTGTCAAATGCTTTTTTTTTTTTGCACCTATTGAGATGATCGTGTGACTTATTGACATGATATGTTGCATGCATTATGATGGCATGTATACAGCATGTGATAATAAGACACAGGTAATACTGTGATTTTTAAATCTTTTGATTTGTTAATGGATAATCACATTGAATTTTTTTGTGAGTTGAAATGTCCTTGCGTCACAGGGTCCTGGTGTGTGATTAATGTGATGTTGAATTCAATTTTTTAATATTTTCTTGAGGATATATGTGTTTCTATTCATCTAATTAATCTGTAGTTTTCATGTCCTTTCTGTCTAGCTTTGATCTCAGAGTAATGCTTATGTCATAAAATAAGTTTGGCGATGGGAGAGATGACTCACTGGGTAAAGGGAAACTTTATATGGGAAAATATTTCTTCATTTTTGAAGAACCATTTTCTGAATATAATATTCT